TCAGCAGTTCTGCAGCCGGTATTGACTAATACTGTTACCTGCGAGTCCAACTGCCCACACTGCTTCACATCAGACAGAGAAATGTAGAATATAGAGATGACAAAGACAACAAAGAACAAACAGAAGATGAAGAACTCCACCACCAGCACTTCTAGAGTACGTGTAGAGCTGAGCAGAACACATGAGGACTCTGATGCTCTCTCATATCGTCTGATATCTTCTCTGCTCCTCCTCATCTGTCAGAGACTGGAATAATCGGTGTTTTCCTCAGTCTGGAGTCTCCAGCAGATCTCAGCTCTTCAGCTTTGCAGGAGGAGACCGTCTGTCTCAGAGCTGTGTATTGATCGTAGGCTGGAAGCTCCTGATCAATACGTCAATTAAAGCTGCATTAAGCAGAGCTGAGACCCAGAGCGAGAGCTGAGCTTCAGTGAAGGCCACAGACTCTGGATCAGTTCACTTCAGACACATAAATAAGCCATCAGAGAAACTAATTAACAAGGACACTTACCACCACATACGAGAGGGGATGGAGAGCGGAACATGGCCTGGACTTCAGCAGTTGATGTAGACAGGAGTCCTGCACAGTGGTCAGAGGGGTTGTGAGCTGTTCTTCTTCAGAATAGTGTTCAGGTCACTACTGATGCTGCTGGAGGAAAACCTTCCCTCACTCACTCCTCCAAAACAGCCCAAAGTGCTCAATAATGTTTAATCTGGGTACTGTGCAGGCCATGGGAGATGTTCAGCTTCACCGTCATGTTCATCAGACCGCTCTACCTGTGCTGTGTATTGGTACATCCTGATTCACACCACCCTAAGAATACAGGGTTTGAACCATTGGGTCACATGCTCCTCCAGAATGATTGGGTAGTCTTCGGCAGTGACCCAGCGCCCATCCAGCACCAGTATTCTGTCTAGAGAAAGCCATGATATTGAGCCCAAACCATCAGTGACCCCACATGCTTGACTCTGGGCATCAGCAGTCTGGGTGGGCCGCTTCTGTGGGGCTTCTCCACACCGTAACTCTCCCGGATGTGGAAAGACAGTGAAGCTGGATCATCAGAGTACAGTAGTCAGCAGTGTGGGTAAGTGTCTCTGTTGATTTGCTTCTTCATGATGGATTATTTATATATCTGAACTGTCCTCTGTATATATGCGCATCTGCCACTCCGCTGATCATGTGGCTAAATATGATCATAATCAATAAATCAATAAACACTGCTGATGATGATGATGATGATGATGATGATGAGTGTGTTGGTGTATGCTGCATCCAGCTGTTGGTCTTTCTGCAAGCTTCACTACAGCTCAGATCAGGCTTCAGTGTCTGTAGTGTAGTTGTGTGTCCAGCAGGCGTGTAATAATCAGCATAATGTACATCCAGCCGGTGGATATCAGATTGATGAGATCTTTCCTACCGGAGCGGCCTGCACAACTCCTGTTACATCTGACTTACACAGTGTGTGAACAACACGAGACTCCAGCGACAAGCATTCGTCTGTTCACAGCAATGGAGACGCCAGGATGATGCAGACAGCAGCCGCTGCACTCAGTCAAGGGTTAATCTGATGAAGACATGTTACACTCTAGAACATCAGGAGAAGACTCTGAGTGACTGCTGTAGTCTCAGTCTTTCATTCTCCAAGCGTCTGCTGCTGACTTTATTTAGGGTCTGAGCTGAGCTGAGCGATGTGCTGCTGCTGCTGCTTTCAGGAGAGTCACACACACACACACACACACACACACACACACACACACGTGCTGTAAAGCTCACACACACACTGACAGCATCACGCACTGAGCAGTGCCTGCGCTGACCGCTGACAGTAATACACACTGCTGATCTGCTGAAACAGACAGCGTGACTAGAACAGAAGCACAGTGATGCTGCGACTGAAGAGGGAGATCACACACACCACACACACCACACCGCCTCACACCTCTGAGTCTGATCACACACTGAGTTATTGTAGTGATAGAGTCTGAGCAGCTCACCCTACACTACTGATCTGTACATTAACACACACACACACACACACACACACACACACACACACACACTCACCTTCATGATGCTCAGCCGTCCTGATGCTCCTCACTTCAGACACACACACACACACTGAGCCCGCATCTCTTCCCTCCAGATGCTCTACACACATCAGCCAATCAGACACCAGCAGGTCTAAGGCTCCACCCACAGACACAACATGACACTCATTCAGAATACCACACACACACACACACACACACATCATACACAGACACATCACAAACACATCAGACAGACACACTCATACACACACACAGTTTAGACACAAGTTAATCACACAGACATGCACACATCTATTTCACACACACAAAATGTGCACACAAATCACACACACACACACACACACACACACACACAAACACAACACAAACACCCAATAACGCACAAATTACAAACACACACAAATGTCACACACACACACACACCAACAGCCAACTATTCCAGCACATGTTTTACACAGCAGATGCCCTTCCAGCTGCAACCCAGTACTGGGAAACACCCATACACACTTAGTTACTCTCATATGCATGTGTTTGGACTGTGGGGGAAACCAGAGCACCCGAAGGAAACCCACGCCAACATGGGGAGAACATGCAAACTCCACACAGAAACACCAACTGACCCAGCCGAGACTCAAACCAGAGACCTTCTTGCTGTGAGGCGATTGTGGAACCCACTGCGCCACTGCGTCACCCCCACAAACAGTCCGTCAGCTGATCAGAGATCAGTACTTCATGACACAATCACATACCGCGATTGGCTGCTTCCCTCCAGCTGTGGTGATTGGCTGACTCCTCCAGCTGTGGTGATTGGCTGGCTCCTCCAGCTGTGGTGATTGGTTGACTCCTCCAGCTGTGGTGATTGGCTGGCTCCTCCAGCTGTGGTGATTGGCTGGCTCCTCCAGCAGAGGGCGCTGTTTGTGCTTGTTGTGTGTCGGAAAGCAACAGCCGTTCACAATCCTTTATTCCTGAACTGATGATGATGATGATGATGATGAAGATGTTCAGTCATTTACAGTTAAAGCTCTTTTCAGAAACAATTTTATTATTATTTATTTATTTATTTATTTATTTTAGAGACTGGTTAAAGTAATAATATTAATTTAGCTGCTCAGATACTTGTCTCTTTATTTGTTGAGCTGTGGAGGGATTATTATGGTGTACAATTATGAGCTTTGCTTTAAATTACTTCACGTTTATTTTTGTGATAATGCAGAAGGTTTATCTTTATTTTTTACATTTTTAATTCTGAAATGTTAAATTGTAATGTGATTATACATGTTATTGTCTGTCTTGTGGAAATCATCTCAAAAACAGAAAATAAAATCCTTTAGAAAATAAGCAAACATACAAAATAAGTAGGCTAATAAATAAATAAGCAATTAAACAAACAAACAAACAAACAAGACTCATTCTATATTCTATAATCTTTAACTCCGCCCTTTCACGCCTACTAGGGTGCAGCCTATGCGAGCAGGTGTGTATTCAACAGCTGCGAGTGCCGGACTGCTGCTGTGTTGATGTGCAGTAGCTCCACTGCTCCACTAGAGGGAGCGCCGCGCTGCGCTGCGCTGTGTTTCAGATGACGACTGCTCTGGGATATGGGATATAAGTTAGCCTATTCTAAAGCACGGAAGAACAAATCAAATTACATTATTATATCAGTAAGCAAAATAAGCACACTCAAGACTTTACATTTTTAAACATAATAATAGGATTATTTTCCCAATCTTTTCTCAAAACCCCATTTATAACAGCTGTAAGGTATAAGCAGCTATAAGAATAAAGCCCACTGTTCACTCGGGTAAACTGCAGTAATGTGTCTCTAGCTGATTGCTTTTTAATGTTTTTAAATGTTGATATAATTATGATTCTATTTATTCAGTAATGAAAACATGTTTACTGTGTGTAGGCCTGAAATCATATTAAACAGCTCTTAATTCTGCTGTCCAAGTTCAAGATCCTCAGTCGGAGCAACATCCAATCGCCAGCAATACATCTCAATACAACCTTATCTTCTTTATATTTTAGTTTCTATTGCAAACAGATATAATTACCAACAGCAGTTGGACATTTTACAGCAAATCCCCCACTAAATTCCCTAAAACTGAAGACAATTATCTGACAAACTGATTTAAACCCGTCAGTGTTTACTCCTGTATGAGTCTAATGTGTCATTCTGGTCTTAAAAGGGTGTTAAAAGTGTTAAACTTGACTTGATGAAACCTGCAGAAGCTCTGGCTTTACACTAATAGAGCTGCTTGTGGAGCTCTTCTCCTGCCATATCAGCTGTATCTGTCATTTTATTAGCTGAATTTAGTTTTAGATGCGTTTTCTTTACGTAAATAATGTTCTGGCAAACACTGAGAACTGCTGGGAAATACAACTGCTCGCCAGATTCACTCTTTCACCATTAAACTCAGCGATACAGTGAAGATAATGCAGCAGCAGAGCCCTGTACAGCTCAGACATTAGATTATTCTGCTGTTTAAACACGTTTCATACGAAAAGTCAACATAATAGTGTTGATTCTGTAATTAATGATGAGTATAATGTCATAATTATCATGATCACTCAGCAAAACCCAGTTGATCTGCTCCTCACCTGCTTTCATCAAATGAATCCAGCCTTGTTAAGACATTAGCTATTTAATATTAATCAATCTGTATAAGCCCTTTGCGGAGTTGTCTGATTACATCAGATATCAGATCAGAACACCTGCAGTAATATTTGATTGAGTTATGTGCCTTTATATGATTTATTGATTTAGATTTACAGAAGAATTCCGATATCATCTCAGCATCTGTGATGAACACTGATATTCTGCTGTGAAGACTCGACAGATGCGGTATTAGTGATGCTCTGTGCTCCTCCACACACACGGCGGATATCAGTCATTAATACTGTGAAATGAGCCAATGACAAACAGTTGCGTGCGGCTTTGATCTCCCGCGTCACGTGGTTCACGGATATCCAATCAGACAACAGCTTCACTGCACAACTCATTGATCATCATCGCATGTTTACTTCAGTAGCAGAGTTCAGTATTTATTTATCAGATTATTTGGTCTAATATTTGTGCCACAATTATGATCCATTAATGACATGTTTAACATTACAATTAACGTTAATATTAATGACATTTGTCTAATGCAGACGGGGAAATGTTTAATTGCAATTCAAAAGACAAATCGGAGAAACTTCTGAACGAAAAAACAACAATACTGCCATCATGTATAACCCCTGTACGGCAAATATATGCGCTTACTGCTCATTTAGAGTTTTTATTTTGAATGAATATTCAGTCTGATTAGATTTTTAACTCATCTTTAAGATGGTAATAATGCACATATACTTTAGGAAATGACACTCGGTTAAATACACACAGTGCACGCGAGAAAATACTGAATTACTCACATTAAAATGATAAACAAGATTCTGCATTGAACAAAAGATCGACTAGACAATATGCAGGAGACTAAATTAATGATTTAAATCCTCTCAAACACGAGAGAAAACAACAGCACATATACGAACATGAGGACAGCCGAGCAGACAAACACAATCAACATTCAACATCAGCAGTCCTGTTTCAGATATACAGCGCGTCAGCTGGAATTCAACACAATCTCACGGCAATTCGTAACTTTTTGATTTAGTGGCTAATTCGTATGAATACGTACGATCTAATTCGTACAATTTAGTACGATTTGCTTATCCCCCAATGACGGTTGGGGTTAGGGGTTGGGTCAGGTGCCACGCCTCCTTTTTAAAATCGTACCATTTCGTACGACTGAACTCGTACGAATTCGTACGAATTAGCCTGGCAAAATGTAAAATACTTACGTTTTCTCGTGAGATCAGGCTAGGGAATTATACGGTTCTCTCTGTGTTCTGAATGATCTTAAGATGTTGAGCTGCAAAGTTTTTACATTCCATAGCAAACAGTATATGCGTGTAACAGAATTTTTTTTTTTTTTTTTAAATAAAAAGTCTTAAAATGTAAACAACTTAATTCACGCTTTAAATGATATCTGCATGGCTTTACAGCTGGAATAATGCGTCACCTAGAAATATAAAGTTCTGTCTGACATTATCAAAATTGAGTTATTGAAGTATTCTAATTAAATAACAACTTGTTTAAACTATGGGATGTTTTTTTACATACAATTAATAAGCAGAAATCAATTCTTAAAGACTAGATGCACTCAATATATATATTTATTTCTGCTCGTTCAAACTATTTATTTAAAATGAGCTGAAGCAACACAATTCTTGAGATTTCATTAAGGACAACTTAATATTTTATGTTTAATGCACATACATCTTACAAGTTAATCTATTAGTGTTGATACAATATGACTGAGTTGTGTGGATCCCTGCATTTTACACTGTAAATTAAAATGGTGTGTAAACCTGAAGTGTGTATCGATCAAGTGTCTCAAACCACAACACAAATCAAACCCGCTGCAGTGTGTGTGTGTGTGTGTGTGCGTGTGTGTGTGTGCGTGTGTGTGAACAGCGCTGTTTTAGTGCCTCATTTGCATTATTAAATATTTCAATACATTTTAATGATTTAACTTCCTACAAAATGTGACGGCATTGTCAGAATAGCAGGCATATATTAGCATTTCATTACAGGAAGTTATCAGAATAATTAATGTGAATGTGCATTAGTGGTTTGTCTGTAATTAATCCTCTTATCTCATTTTCACCATCATAATCATCTCATTGTTAATAGTTCACCTAAAACATTCACTCTTTACTCTCCCTCAAGTGGTTTTTAACCTTCATACGAAAGAAGATAATTTAAGGAATGCTGAAGACCTTCACTTCCACAGGAAAAACAAATACCAGAGACTGGTTACAGGTTTACAGCATTCTTCAAAATATCTCCTTTAGTGTTCAAAGAAAGAAACTCAGAAAAGTTTGAAACCAGTAAATGATGAATAAATGATGAGTAAATGAGGAGTAAATGATGACAGGGTGTTCAGTTTGGGTGAATCTCCCTGTAGCGCAGAGACATCTGCAGATAGAGTGAGTCTGCCAGAACAACTAAACCCATTTCCACACAAGAAACTCAGAGTAAAACAGCACCAAAACATGATATTAATCACTAATTAAAGATAACCTAAACTCACAAAAGTCACAAATTAAGATCAATCTGCAATAGACACAAAACGGACTGTAAATATTAACTAGATAATTCAAACACAATAAACCAAACACAATATCCCAAACACAATAAACCAAACACAATATCCCAAATCCCAAATGTGTTAAAGTTTCAGAACACTGTTTGAGGATCCGTGACCTTTCTGGATCTGTTGGCCCAGGATAAAGAGTGTGAGTGTGTGTGTGTGTGTGTGTGTGTGTGTGTGTGTGTGTGTGTGTGTGTGTGTGTGTCTGTGTGTGTGTTTAATAAAACAGTGTTTTTCAGTCATCTGCGTCCGTGTTTTGATGCTCGGGCTGAAGATCATGCTCCTCAAAGGCTCCTCCTCCTCCCGGTGATCAAACGGGCCGCGGATCCTCCTTAATTACCGGATTGATCAGTCCAGTTCCGGCTCTCCGTCCCCGAGCGCGTCCCTCAGATGATGTCCTGACCTTTATCTCCAAACCAACTCCACAAAAGAGTCACCGAAGCGCCATGGAGCAGAAAGAGTCTCTGGCGCTGCAGAAGCTGAGCTCCTTCAGCATCACGAGTCTCCTGCTGCCCGGTAAAAGCGGCACACCGGCGGACAGCAGCCCGGTGACCGACCCGCCGTCTGAAGAGCGCAGCTCAGAGAAAGCCAAAGACGCAGAAGACGCCGGGAAACCCGTCAAACTCGACAAACCTCCGTTCAGCTACAACGCGCTGATCATGATGGCGATCCGACAGAGCCCGGAGAAGAGGCTGACGCTTAACGGGATCTACGAGTTCATCATGAAGAACTTTCCGTTTTACCGGGAGCACAAGCAGGGCTGGCAGAACTCCATTCGGCACAATTTGAGTCTGAATAAATGTTTCGTTAAAGTGCCACGGCATTACGACGACCCCGGGAAAGGGAACTACTGGATGCTGGACCCGTCGAGCGACGATGTCTTTATCGGAGGAACCACCGGGAAACTCCGCCGACGCTCGGCGACATCCCGCGGGAAACTGGCGATCAAACGCGGACTCCGGTTTTCTCCTCTGGGGTTGCATGGAATAACGGAAACGGCGAACAATCCTCTATACTGGCAGTTATCTCCTTTATTATCTTTACACCATCATCATCATCATCCGCATTATAACGGGACGTCGCACGGATTTCTAAATCAGGCTCACGGTTACGGTTCTTTCGTCCACGGAGTCGAGCACCTGGGCAGCCGGGAAGCCCCGCGGGCCGTTCTCGGGGGATCCAGCGGTGCTCTCGGTCTGTCGAACGGTTACGGGATGAGTTCGTCTCCCGTTGGTTTGTTATCAGTGCCGTCGGGACTCTTACCCGCGCCGGGGCTGCAGGGCGCGCTCGGGGCCCCGCAGAGCCTCCGGACAGCGCTCGGGCCCTTCACACCCACCGGGGCCGCCGCTTTACCAGCTCTGGCCCACCACGACAGACTCTCGCCAGATTCATTGTAAACTCGTGGCGGAAGTTGGTGATGAGGAGAGCCCAGAGCTCAGCTGATGAGCAGCTCCTACAGCTCTGCGCGCAGCGGCCGGTGGAGTGTGTCCAGTACAGGGGTTGTTCACTCAAAAATGAGAATATACTCACTATTTACCCTCCCTCAGCGCGGTCAAAGATTGTGTTGGTTTACTCTTCTGTTGAACACTAAATAAGAGATTTTTAAAGGTGAAACCCATCTCTGACTTCCATAAACACCCTGCAGGAATACTCTAGAGCTCATTACAGCTTTCAGCTTTCAGCTTCTCATCCAGTGTCCAACAGAAGAAGATCTGATCCAGGTCTGAAGCGCGCAGAGGCGGAATACATGCTCACAACTCAACACAGTGTACAGGACACACACACACACACACACACACACACTACACATTTAACGGCATCCAGAATGTTTTAACACAAAGTTGGGTGTTTTTTGGTTTCCATTAAATGTTAAATTACTAACCCAAAACCCGGGTTTTCCATATGACCCAACATTCGGTTATTAGGACAACCCAGGAGCACACATTATTTATGTAGATTTATGTTTCTGTATGAGGAGGAATTAATTTATGCTTTATCTGTGTCTGTTATTATCCATGATCAGCAGCAGTCTGGCTGGAAATATTGCGGTAACCGCATGGAAAACAGTCATTTATAGTAAATAATGGTGTTTTTGAACCATGTAGAGAGTAAACTGTATATAGCAGCACTGTTTATATTACATATGTCCAAACTAAGCAGTAGCTGATGTGAATATTGTACACACACTTTATTACAGTGTGTATGTGGTAATATGCCCTATAGTTTATCATAGTATTATTTGTTTATATTATTGATGTATTACTTTACCAATTTTGGTTCAAAAACAATAAACCATTTACTATAAATTGCTCCAGAGTGTTATGTGGTGAACTCCACTATAAATATAAGAGAGAGAGAGAATGTTTATTAGTTTATTTGATTTTTCTCAGGTTTCATAAAGAGTGTGCAGACCCTTGCAGATGCTGCATTATGGGAAGATTATGGTGTGTGTGTGTGTGTGTGTGTGTGTGTGTGTGTGTGTGTGTATGATGTGTTCAGCAGGTCATTGGTGATGCCATCATGCACAGAAACATCATGGCGGCTCTGATGTTTTATTTTCGTCTTTTCATTAAATGAGGGAACGCCGGATTATTGAGAGACTCGCAGCAGTTCACTCATGCAGGCCCACATTTACACACAATTTACGAAACATTCGGTGCCAAGAACAGCCCACAAAACAAACGGATTAGCTTAAAGTCAATCATTCGGGGTGGCGTGAAATAACACTCTTATGAAGGAGTAATAAAGCAGGGAAGGACTGGGCAGACTGAAGCTCTTCTGCTGCTCGGTTCAGCATCTCAGGCTGCTCTGAGGCCGCTAAACAACTGCAGATCCGCACATCACTATGCCACATTCAGCTGTTGTTGTTGTAGTAAAGTTCTGCACTTTTAACAGGAGGAGAAGCTGCATGCTTCACTGAGAGAAAACCCTTTATATTTACAACATTAAACACTTTATAAAGGATCTTTGTTTGGTCAGTGTGAAGCTGAGATGTGTGTTAGGAGCATATTTAATTAAAGTGGAGAAAAGTAGCTGCAGCACAGGATCATTCCAGTGTTTTCTTTATGTTGTGCATTTGGGTTGTGTGTGTGCTGGTTCAACAATAAATTAATCTTGGTTTACAAACATGGTTTACTGCTGAATAAATAAATACATTAAAAGCAGATTTGTTAATTGTAAAAATCCTTTAAAGACAGGCAGGACGCAGTTAGTAATCTCACATCACAGAAACATTCAAATGACTCATTTATTCAGTCTTTTTAAATTAGTCTGTTTTATTTACTGAATTAATAACTACATAAACCCTTGATTTGATGGGTATAAAGACCGGTTTTCTTCACAGATCAGTATTAATCTGCTGGTAAATGCTAGTTTCATTTGTCTATTTTGAAATTAATTAATTAAAGCCACAGTAATGCCGAGCTGCCGTGTCTTTAAAAGAGCTGAAGGAGAAAACGTCTCGAAGAAGACTCGATTTATAATGCCGAAAATGCATTTTTCACATGCAGCACAGAATTATTATAACTATCATTAATGCAGTTTTATAGTGTTGTGTGTTTATAAGGCCTCCGAGTCTGTGAAGCGCAGAAGATTAGGCTCAGTGATGAGTCCTGCGCACAGGCGAAACGAGAAATCACACGGGTTTAGATTATTTGAGTTTTATTTTGTTTGTTTATGGTGTTAACTTTGAAAACAAAAATGTGGAAAGCTACACATGAGAAATATAGATACTAAGATAAGGAAAAACAAACAAATAAATAAAAAAAGCATTATTCGTAGCTAATACACTGAAAACAGATATTCAAAGATGATTCCTTGGGTTTTGTAAATCATTTTAAGTTGAGTTTTTGGAAACAATTTATTTGGGCTGAATTTAAACAAACAAATTAAGATAAACATTACTCAATGTAATTTATTTGTTCAAATTCGACATATAAATTGTTTGTGACAATTTGTTTTTCTGTGTCGCTAAATACACAAATACAAATTAAATGGGAAGGTTTCCTAAATAAATCAATGGGGAAAAGACAGTTATTATTTTATAGAGGTTTATTAAACACAGTGCTGTTTGATCAGTTAAATGGCATTGTTTAAGGTTTATTTAAAGTCGGATAAAGTCAGGCCTCGCATAAAAGACATAAATACTGAAATTCTGCTGTTAAACCAATAATCCCGTATTCACCAGGACTCAAAAGTAAAAGCTGAAATCATGCCCATCTCATCATTTGCGCTCTAAATAATGTTGGCTTATTTCTGGGTGTAATAGGGACTAACCCAACTGCTGGGTTATTTTAAAAAATTAAACAAATAGGACCAAATTTAACCTGATGTTTGGGTCGGTCCATATTTTACTCAGTGTGGGGTTAAATAACCCAGCATTTCCGTGTACGCCGCTCAGGCCGCGTTTACATCTACAGCAGATATGACGTCCAATTTAATAATGTAATAATTATTAGTATTGATTACAACAGCAGTAGGATAAAGTTAGGCTATATAGTAACCACCGTAATCATTTACACTGCAAGCGCACATCGAATAATCAGACGATCAGCCTGAAATAAACATTATTTTACCGCAGTGTAGCAGTTTTGCAGCATTTTCACAAACACCATGAAATTAACATAATTAATTTAATCCTTAAAATATAATTATAAAGCCTCATGCACACATCTGACTCAGTGTTTACTATTAGCCTGTTTTTTACACGGTTTAACGAGCTTCTGCACAGATTCCGCAAACTGTAACATCATTTAATTGAATATAAATCATCTGTACTCATTGCTTTAGTAAACCTGTCCACAGACCTGCTGCACTAGTGCTGTGAGTGTTGACGGTGCCGTTTGCGTTATTGGATCCATTTACACTTCAGCAACACGCATTAAGCTATAATCAAAAATAAAATGATTCACCTGCAGAAAACACTTTCGATCCTTCAGACTATTTTAATGTCTGGGCCAGAAAACGACACTTCACATTCCTGTGTTTGCATCAAATGAACTTTACTCATAGGATTTGATAGAAATAAGAATAATCGCAGATGTCTTTTAATTCGTTCGTGTAAAAATAAACAGGTAAAGGAGCAGGCCTGTAAACACCGACATTCAGCAGAACATTCATGTCAAGATAAACACTTATTCTAATGTATAATTAAATATACATCATCACTATAATTGGGTATATATGCTCAGACTAAAACATTGGGTTAAATGAGAAAATAATTAATTAACCCAGTGTTTTGGTTTGTCAATTTTACCCCAGATTGGGTTGAAATAATACAGTATTTCATTATTTTAAGAGTAATAATTACTGTAATTCTGAAAATATGAAAATCATTTGATTATTAAATATATTAAAATAGTGACAAAGTATTAATATATTTCATATCACAATAAATGATTATTTTGGCCAAACGGTGATCCTTAAACTTACATGTTAGTGTCTGTTTAGTTTCTGAAAAATAAATAAAATTAAAATGTAACACTAAATAATATGATATAAAAATAATAATAATAATAATAATAATAATAATAATAGTCATACAATAATTATATAATATTTACTATCATTAACAATCATACAGAATTTAATAATCATAGGTCGTAATTTTCTAATTCCTCATTAATATCCAGAGTTGTGCTTAATTGTTAACAGGTATGCACCGTGTGTAAACAGTAAAGGGCTGTATTTTCTTCACTAACCTTAATGAATAAACACTGAATTAAAACTCATGGATTTTAACTAAAGGAACTTTATTAGGACCCAAATTAAATTAATCGAATCACACTGTAATGTACAACACAGGAATGCAAAACTGTTTTCACTAAGCGATTTAAAACTTTGCATATGTTATAATTATAATGTAAATCTCCAGTGTGTTTGTCCGAGCTGCGCATGCGCACAAGAGTCTGCAGCATTCCGTGACAACACTAATAACCCGCATGGATCACTGGCACTACAAGTCACTTCTAATTACGGTTATCTTGTCCTGGCTGTAAGTTCATGGCCATCACACACACAAACGCGCACACACACACAGACACACACAAACACACTCACATGCGCGCACACACACTCACTCTCTCACACACACACACACACACACACACACACACCACTCCAAATATATAATATATATATAATAAATAAATAAAGCAATATTTCGCGGCTCATTTCTGCAGACTCATTACAGGCTAGATGAGTGTGTGTGAAGATGATGTCCATGATCATTATATGACGAGGTTTGGCCTCATTTGTGCTTTCAAAAACTACTTTTAATGTCAAACTTTGACAAAATCTTGCTGAATGTCTAGAATTAATGCTGCACATCAGAGAAATACAGGTGAAGTCAGAATTATTTATTATTTTTCCCCTTTCATTGTTTTTTACTTTTTCTTTTTTTAAATATTCCTCAGATGCTGTTTCTCAGATTCAGCAGTTGTTCTCTGTGTTTCCTCTAATATCTGTTCTTCTGGAGAAAGTCTGATTTGGTTTATTTTGAGCTAGAATAAAAGCAGTTTTTAATAGTTTTAAAGGCATTTAAGCTGAATATTATTCTCCCCTTCAGCAATTTTAGTGTTGGATTGTCTCCAGAATAAACAATGACTTGCCTAATTACCCTAACTTTACCCTAATTACCCTAGTGAAGCCTTTACATGTCACTGTAAGCTGAACACTAGTGTCTTGAAGAATATCTAGACTAATATTATGTGCTGTCATCATGATGAAGAGGAAACACATCAGCTATTAGAGATGAGTTATTAACACTGTTATGATCAGAGATGTGCTGAGGAAATCTGCTCTGTTAAACAGAAACTGGGGAAGAATAAACAGGGGGCAAATAATTCAGGGCCGCTAATAATTCTGATTTTAACAGTATATACTGATATTAATGTTTCTACAATTTTTACAGATTCATTTATTTTTTACTTTCATGAACCCGAGTCACTGTCAGGTTAAATAACACAAACCCACAAACCACAAATAATATCCTTCCAGTATAATATCCACAAACACTACATGAAGAACATGCTGACACAACACAACATACACAAGCATACAGTATGTGACCTGTGATAACAACAACAACAACTTCCACAAATGAACCCTGACAGAACAGCAGCGTTTATAAGACTGTTCCCAACTGCAGTTGTAAAGCCGAGGGGTTTCATGTGACAAGCAACAGCAACAACAGCAACAACAGCAACAACAACAACAACAACAACAACAACAACTGCTGCAACTACAACAACAACAACAACAACAACAACAACAACAACTGCTGCAACTACAAAAATAGCAGCTGCAGCAAATACAACATCAAATGCAGCAGCAACAACAGCAACAGCAGCAACAACTACAAAAATAACAGCTGCAGCAACAACAACAACAACAACAACAACAACAACAACAACAACACCAACAGCAGCAACAAATACAAAAATAACAGCTGCAGCAGCAGCAACAACAACAACAAATGCAGCAGCAACAACAGCAACAGCAGCAACAACTACAAAAATAAGCTGCAGCAACAACAACAACAACATCAAATGCAGCAGCAGCACAACAACAACAACAACAACAACAACAACAACAACAAAAACAACAACAAAAGAACAAAAAAAAAAACAAAAACAAACAAAAAAAAAAAAAAAAAACAACAACAACAACAACAACAACAACA